CAGATAGTCATTCAAGATCAGAATCCAGCAACTTCAAAGGCTCAGCAGTAGTGACGCCTTTTCAAGTCGACCCTCTCCGTTGGGATCACCTGAGTGGAAACAGGCGCAAAGCCTCATTTTCCTGGTTGGCAGAGCGTTTTCTTTACCCCAAACTTTGCTTCAATGCTTATTATTTCTCCAGACTTTTATTTTTCCAGTTCTTGTCACGCCTGGACCTTGTGTAACTTTCTTCTATGAGATCCCTGTCCTCGGTTCTGTGTGTCTGCAGTCTGTCCGTGGAACTGTGGGCAGGACTGACTTGTAATCCTGTGGGTGTGATTTTGCCTCTGTTTCTTCTTAAATGCTTGTTCTGTGCAGAGCAGCTTCTTAACCTGAGTCCGTGACTCCTGGTGGCGTATGCGACATGTGTGTGCCTTGCGTTTTCTGAGAGGAGAATCTATAGCTTCCATCAACTTTTCCGGGGAGGAAGGGGGTGTTTGACCCTCCTCAAAAGGTCAGGAGCCATTACTCAGCAGTGTACCCCCATTCCATAATATTTCTTTGTTTACTTCTAGATCCAAGCATAACCGGGAAGTCCTCTGACCTATGTTTTCTTGGGAAAACCTTAGGGCAGTGATGGCGAACCTGTGACACGCAAACTCATTCTTTTGGTTGATTTTTCTTTGTTAAATGGCATTTAAATATATAAAATAAATATCAAAAATAAAAGTCTTTGTTTTACTATGGTTGCAGATATCAAAAAATTTCTATATGTGACACGGCACCAGAGTTAAGTTAGGGTTTTTCAAAATGCTGACCCGCCGAGCTCAAAAGGTTCGCCATCACTGCCTTAGGGAGCGTGTGACAGGAGCATGCAATGGACTCAGACTGGGGACGGTTATTCCAAGAAATGCTCGAGTGTCTTAGGCAAGTCCGGGCTCTGTAGCCTCAGTTGTCAAGTAGGAGAGTTGGGTTAAATTACAAGCTTAAGTATGCACAGGGTGTATTTAGTTTCACTTGTTGCTGCCATAACAGATTAACAAAATCAGTGGCTTAAAACAACCCAGATTTATTCTCTTGTATCTGGAGTCAGCATTCCATACGAATCTTGCAGAGCTGGGTCCTTCGGAAGGTCCTGGGAATCTGTTCCTTGCCTCTTCCAGTTTCTGGTGGCTGCCAGTGTTCCTTGGCTTGTGGCCACACACTCCAGTCTCAGCTCTGTCATCACTCTGCCTCCTTTTCTTCTAGTCCAGTGTCCCTCTGCCCTACACGTGGATTACCTTTAGGGCCCACCGGATAACCCAGGGTAATCTTCCTGTCTCAAGATCTTTAATCATGTCTACAAACTCTCTTTTGCCAAGTAAGGGTACATTCACAGGGATCAGGATGCAGATATTTTGGGGGGCCATTCAGCCTACCACACAGACCTAGACAGCACACACTCTGTCCAAACAGGTTGTCCATGCTCTGCATTAGCCTTAGTTGCCTTGAAGGAAGGAGAGCCACGTCTGTGGTTGTCAAAGTCTGTGGCCCACAAAATTCAGGCAGGCTGCCTGTTTGAAATCTGTAATGCTATGAGTCCTCTTAATATTGGACAAATATGTTACTCCAGGTTATTCCAGACTTAACAGCTGTTAGTTTCCGTATCTTTCTGAGTGTGCCATTCCACAAGTCCTTGCTCACCACTCACAAAATACAATTAAAATGTCTAGCATAGCCCCATTTAAATTTATACATTTGATTGGGTAAAGTTTTCTCAGCTTTATTTAATGTTGACTTAATATAAAAGGTCAAGGGCCAATGTAGGCAGGATCTGGCCAGAAACCCTGTGTGTGTGTGAGTGTGAGTGTGAGTGAGTGAGTGAGTGTGTGTGTGTGTGTGTGTGTGACTGAGTGATGTAAAGCTGTTTTGAAGGCATTAGAAACGGGCGTCCTGGCTTGGAAGGCCTTTGTCTCTAGTCATTTTTGTTGCTCTGGGGTGGGGAATGATAGTTTTGTTGCTTCTCTTTGTGGAAAAAAATAATAGAAGCTTTGAGTTATTCTCAGATTCTCTTTGAAAATATGCCAAAATTTAACATTTGTTGCTTTTCCTCAAGTAGAAGAATTTTTTCCCTAGAACTTAAAAGCCCACGTAATGTTTGGGCTAAAAAATCTTACTTGGTTTGAACCAGCCCAACGCTTAGCAAAACTATTATGAAGCAGTAAGAATTACTTTGGATTAGAACAGCAACTTTCAACCAGTGTATTTTTAAAATATGCAATTCTTGACTTTTTAGTCAGGGACACGGGCCTCTTTTCCCTTGGATTGTCAGGTTAAAAAAATGACAACAGCCAACACAATAGCTCTCCAGTGTGAGTGAATCAAAATTAGACTTTTGGGGTGGGGGGTCAGATTGACAAACGATATCTTTTTTTTTTGGTGTGCCTCGGAATTTCAGTCATTAGTTTATGTGTGCCATGAGATGAAAAAGATTGAAAATCACTAGATTAGAACATGGAGCAGATGGCAAGAATCTTGTAGTATCATTTGCAGCTGAGTAGTATTGCGTCTGTTAAAATAAGGAAAAACAGGTGAGCATCTAGGTTTGCAGTCAGTCTGATCTCATTCTAAGTTAGAGAAGTACAAATTGTTCAGCTCCTGGTTGAGAATCCCATTTGCGCAGGCCAGGTAAATGTTTTTAATGGATAACAAAGTTGAGTGAAATGTGACTGAGATGTGTAAATGGAAACAGTTTTATTATTACCTTTTGGGGGGTCTTATTACCTAATAAGAATAGTTCTTATTAATGACCATTTGCATGCTGAGATGTTAACAGGATTAAACTTGAACATCTCCAGATATGTATTAATTACAATCAAATAATCTTTCTGTGCTATCCTTGTTCTAAAGACTGTATGTATTAACTCACTTTATTTTACCAGCAGTGAGGTTGGTACTGTAACTGGGAAACAAACGTGGTGGGATTAAGCGCTTGGTCCAGAGCCAGCACTCAGGTCCATGCTCTTCACCTGCTGGAGGCCTGTGCCCTGCCTTCCCCCAGCCCTCCTCCTGGCGTCACGTGGCTGTTAGGTGACTGCGGGCAGGTGCTTGTGTTCTAATTGGTTCCGAGAGCTGAGTGATTATTTTAAATTTTGCTAATCCCATCCTGCAGCCCTTAGAAATTACAGTGCTGTACACATCTGCCTGGATTTATGAGATAGGTAGATCTGAGAGATTGGATACAAATGGAATGGAAAATGAAGTTTAGATGAACCAGAATGCCTTTTAAATTCTGCAGTAAATCTTTTAAAGCTTTTTTCTAAGTAAATCTGGAAAGCAAAGAAAATCTTCAAAAACTTAATCCAACTTGCTTGTTTATTTATTTTTAAAGCATAGGGTTTTTTAAAAATACACTTTTGATTTCAGAGAGGAAGAAGACAGGGAGAGAGAAACATCAATGATGAGAGAGAATCATTGATTTGCTGCCTCCTGAACGCCCCTACAGGGGATTTAGCCCAAAACCTGGGCATGTGCCCTTGACCGGAATCGAACCTGGGACCCTTCAGTCGCAGGCTGACACTCTATCCACTGAGCAAAACCAGCTGGGACCCAAGTTGCTTGTTTTACAGGCAAGGAAATAGAGCCCAGGAGGGGTGCAGGGACCTAACCTGTTTGTGAACGTTTCTACTGCATTACTGTCCCAAAAAGTGCTCAGGAGGAAGCCAAGGGTATTGCTGCGAATTTAAATTTCAAGTCAAGTACACAGTAAGAGATCACTTGGTCAGTAAATTGGTCATCTAGACAGAGCCTGTCTTGTTTTTTAAATATATTTTTTAATTGATTTCAGAGAGAGGAAGGGAGAGGGAGAGAGAGAAACATCGATGGGCTGCCTCTGCTTGCCTCCTACTGGGGATCGAGCCCGAAATCCAGGCATGTGCCCTGACCTGCAGCCGGCAGCCTGGTGCATGGGAGTGCGCTCCACCAGCTGAGCCACACAGCCCGGTTAATGTGCTAACAGAGCATTTGTCTCTGGATATTTGCTTAAAGCTCACTCACAGCAACGAGACCCCGATTTAACAATAGTGAGCCTTTATCTTCTGACTAAAAATTAACAGGAATATCTTTAGATTTTCCATTGTAAGTTAAATTCTTACTTGGGAAGTTGCCTTTATTTATTAATATAAATACATATTTGGCTTTGCTGGCAGGTGTGTTGAAACCATGCCATTTCCAGGAGGTTAAATCAACACACTCATGTGGAGAGCCCGAGGCCTTGCGGGGGCTCTTTAAAAAGCACAGAATGGGCAGCCTCCAGCCCTCTTTTCTCTGCCTGTAGCCAAGTCAGCATGGATCTGTATCTTCTTATTTGACAGCATAATTATGAGGGTGGGGCCCCAGCTAGAACGAAGACTGCTACTCAGGCTTTGACATAGCCTAGAAGCTATATAGTTTGTGGTTTGGAGCAGTGTTTGTTCTTCTACAAATCCTAGTGGTTTCCTAAAAGCAAAAACTAGGGAGTCAATGACAGTTTGGCTTGACCTACGTGGCTCAGTGGTTGAGCGTCGACCTATGAACCAGGAGGTCTGGGTTCGATTCCGGTCAGGGCACGTGCCCTGGTTGTGGGCCCGATCCCCAGTAGGGGGCGTGCAGGAGGCAGCCGATCAGTGATTCTCATATTGATGTTTCTATCTCTCTCTCCCCTCTCCCTCTCTGAAATCAATAAAAATATATTTAAGGAGTGGGGGCGAAGGACGACAATTTTAAATTGTCTAAAGTTGCGTCCTCACAGAGGTTCGATTTACCGCCTTTCCATCACTGCCCCTCCCCAGGCAGATTCAGTTCATTTCTGTAGTTGAGGATATCTGGCCCTCAGAGCTCGGCATGCAGTTGCTATTGTGAAAGGGCAGATGTCAGGATGGCTTTTGCATTCCTTTACATGGAATGACACTGTTGGCAGACATGTCACGTTTGTATGTTCATTCGGCAAACTGAGTGCCACATACTGCTTTTGACAGAGGACAACACACCTAGGTAGTGTTGCCATGGAGTCACACACAGGCTGGTGGCACAAAGGGGCTGCAGGAGCTGAGGAAAACTTCTTGGAGAAGCTAACATTTGGGTTAGAGCTAGTGAGCTTTTTATTAAATGACCCCTAGGCTGTATCAGTCAGTGGTTGTGCCATCTGCTGCCAAGGGAGTTGGAGCTGCTGCGCCTGCCCCGCCAGGTGGTGGTATTCATTGTGATCTTGCTCTTTTGCAGTTGAGGAACCTGCTGAAGTGGTACGCCAAGGAATTCAAAGACCCTCTGCTGCAGGACCCCCCAGTGTGGTTTAAATCCTTCCTGTTTTGCGAGCTTGTGTTTCAGCTGCCTTTCTTTCCCATTGCAACATATGCCTTCTTCAAAGGTTGGTGAATGGTGGGGAAATCCCCTTCCTGCTCAAATCAGGCCCCAGAAATCTTTGGGAAAGTATCTTCAAAGGGGAGGGGAGGGGCCCCTGTGGTTGTGTGAGGGGGTGGAGGATGTGGTGGGACGGCCAGGATGGCTCCTATAAAGGGACATCATGTGGCTCAGGCTAATGTCTGTGGTCGGCTGGGCTGCGTAACTGCTCAGCCAACTGGACATCTCACACACGCGAAACTTGAGGCTCCTTAAAGCTTGAACTTGTTGCTTTTTCTTTCTTTTATCATTGGGTTTCATTTTTCTGTTTTAGGTAGTATCATGCTGGCTTATAAGTAGTAGCATCAAGCTAATTCCGAAGGGTTAACGTCTTTTTAAAAAAAGATTCTTACAGTGTCCCCATATGTCTGATGCTGTTATAAAGACAGTAGTCATACCAACATATGTGGTAACTAAGCTTCTAGAGCTTATCTCCCACTGCAACTCCCAACCCATCTCTGGGCAGAATCTATTGATCTTCTCACCTACATATACTATAATTACTTAACAAACATGTTGCTGTCAGCCCCCCCCCCCCACACACACACACACTTCAGACCAAACAGGTTTAACTTTTTACTGCCCTAGAGTTTTCCTGAATTAAATTCCAATTCCCACCCTGGCTCTTTGGAAAATTTGCACATTTAGGCAGCATTATAATACATCTGGTTTTCAATTTGTTTCCACTTGGTAAAGGGGGTAGAATGGTTCGGCTGAAAGGAGCAGTCAGAGGTGTCCTGGGGCTTGTCATGGGCAGACCTAACGCTTATCTCTCTTCCCGATGACTGCAGGGAGCTGCAAGTGGATTCGTACCGCCGCCATCGTCTACTCAGCCCACACCATGACAACCCTGATTCCAATTCTCTGCACGTTTCTATTGGAGGATTTCTCTAAAGCCAGTGGTTTCAAAGGACAAGGGCCTAAGACTTTACGTGAACGCTTAACCCTTGTATCTGTCTATGCCCCTTACTTCCTCATCCCTCTTATGCTTCTGCTTTTCATGTTGCGGAGCCCCTACTACAAATATGAGGAGAAAAGAAAGAAAAAATGAGATAACTACACAAGGAAAAGTGCTCAGAACCCATGTCTTCAGTAGCATTTGAAACACACCAGCAGCAGGAGCCATAAACTGTTACCTTCCATGGGCACTGGCACAGACCCATCACCTGAGGACAGGCCACCTTCACCATGTACCCACGTTCCATTGCAGAATTACCAAAAACAGGACCAGACCAGAAATGGATAAACTTCTAAGAAACATACCCTGCTTGGCATTTTCATGAGTTATTTGATCCACAATATGCATGTGACTAAACCCCTTGACTCAAGATTCTCTACAGCAAATCCCTATTCAGCAAAATGAGTAGTATGATGTTTCAGGCCATTTTTAAGTTTCAAATTATGCCTCTTCAATATTCATTAAAAACTATGTTGTTTTCTTGCCTTACCCCTGGTGGGGAGAGGAGAGAACACCGTCTGCCAGAGGCTTAAGGCTCAGCCCTGGCTGACTTTCAGGCAGATGTGGGTTAAACCAGAAGGTGCTTTGTTTCTGTTTTAAACGGCTTGTCCCAGAAGGAGAGATTTTTTAAAAAGTCTCCTTGTTTATCTTCTTTCCAAACTTTAGTCCTGTCTTTTTACAGACCACCGGACAGGAGTCACTCTACTCTGAGGTCTGGTGTCTCAAACCTGACCTGGAAGTGTGCTGCCTTCTGGATAACTACATTCTTCCTAATAGTTTAATCATTCCTCCCCGTGCTTGTCTCAGTCAAATGGGGGCACAGCTGGGCATAACATGTCCACTGTATGCATCTAGGGTCTCTTCATGTTGGTACCTTGTTACATTAGCTTTCTCTAAGTTCATACTCAAAGCTAACTTAAAAAAAAAAAAGATTTATGAACACATGGACAACAGAAGAAATTGGTTCCAGTCGATTCCCTCTTGCCTGTTCTGCTCACAAGCCATATTACTCTAATTATTGGGAGTATCCTCTGACTCGTGTCCAGTCCAAATAAAGGTAGCTGCTGGCCATTGCCTGGTTTGTTTTGTGGACAAGAGGCTGGAGAGTGCAAGGTTCTCTTACAAGTGATTAAGTGTACACTTTAAGGGCACCAGGAAAAGAGGTAGATAAGCCATTTGAAAACAATAATTTATTGCTTTTTTTCTCCAAAGCTTTGTGAATTTACACACACAAAAAATCAAAGTTTACAGACTGCTTATTTCAGAATAAGAACGCAAGAGGTGAGAACCTGGGCCACCACGGTCGCGGGATATCTACCAGATATGCACTGGCATCTGGAACAAGCCCCCAGCCCCAGATTTGTTTTATTGCCTTCAGAGACGATGCATCCTTCACACACCATCTCACATGATATACTTGGGTCATTAGTCACTGGAATGGTACAGAGGTTTTTTTGTTTTTCTACCCTCCTGCTATACAATGAAATTTTCAGTTCATTTCTGAAAAATAAATTGGTCAATAAATTCATTTTGTTCTGCTTCTACTTTACACAAAGCTTCATATTCAACCCGATACCTGAAAAACAAAATTGTTAGAAGCCCTAAAAATGGATGAAGTAAACCATGGACTAATTCTCCTAGAGAAGAATATAGGTGACTTAAATGATTCCAAGAAACGGTGTTAAATGAAGTTAGGGCAAGAGAAAAGCCTAGATGTGCAGAGCCCTGCACAGGGCCACCATGAGAAATCTTCCTTAGAGGGTCTGCCAGCCACCTTTGCCCAGTAGCTACCTGAGACTTCACGCTCTCGAACTACTACAGGTGATTTGATATTAATGAGTTTCCATCAAATTTTATTTTTAAAACTTTCAAATAGGATGACAAGTGAGACACTATTTCCAGGAGAAAAGTGAAGAATAAGGATAAGAGGTGACTGTTAAGGAGAAATAGAACTGCGGTGGAGTAAAGACCTTGCTCTACATAACGTCTTACCTTTCGAGCTGCATTTTCTTTTCCGCTATCAGTGCCTGGAGTTGCTGCTGTTGGGCTTCTCTCTGCTTTGCTATAGATTTGAGCAAATTGCGAGCACCAATGGCCTAGGAGAACAGTGTTGCCAAAGAAGGTCATGGCTTCGTTCAAACCATCTTCAGCGTTAAGTCCTCAACTGGGTAAGCACCACTTGGGGGCTACCTCACTGCCCAGAAGGGAAAAGAAGGTTGAACCCCAGAGCTTTGGGAAAAAGAGGATTAACCTCAGGATTCCAAAGTGAGAGTTGGCCTAGGGCTGAGGCAGATCTAGGAGTATCCCCAGGGTCTGGAACATTTAGTGCTCTTTACCAAGTCATCTATACTCTGCACGGCTTCATTATAAGATGATAAAACCATCTATTTCAGTGACGTGACGATTAAAGGAAATAATGACAATGTGTACCGGCACATAAGAATTCAAAGTAGGTTAACTGGACCAGGAATTGTTTTTAAAAAACAGGTATAATTGACATGTGATATTTTAGGTGTACAACATGAGTTGATACTTGTATAGGAAATGTTATTTAAAATCTTGTTTTATTAAAAGAACATCCTCCTCAACACACACACAGTCAAGAAGGCAAAAGATGACAGGCTAGTGAACGAGGATCCCAGGCCAAGACTGAGATAAGTGCATGCTGATCTTACCTTCATCTTCTCATTTTCTGCTTCTTTTGCAAGTTGGTCAACAAGCTCAAGTAAACCACCAACTATTTTCTGAAATTGGCCAATTTCTTTGGGGGAAAGAAGAAAATGTTTTTATTTCCTCGGTGTCATCACTCTCCCTCAGTGCTCCCTTTCAGCGGGAGGGAAGGACTGACTGCCCTGCTAATTTGCATCCAAACAGTTTGGTGCCTGCTGGTCTGAAGCCTGCCCACCTTGGTCTGGACCTAGAGACAACCGCGTCCAGAGCTAGACGGGAGTATCTGGACTTTGAGCCCCCACAACCAGCTGGCTGCTGTTACCTCAGGCTATGAAGGCCCTGGTGGGCCTATTCTATGGGTGGACCCCATCCTGCTGCCCACTCCAGGAGGTACAAAGGGCCACACTCACGAAAGGACTGCCTCAGGACAGGAAGCTCCCTCTTGTAGCCACAGATACACTAGATTTCAGTTGATGGTGGGGTTATCCACTGTGACCACAGCTAATAAAGAGCTCAAAGCATTTAAGTGCCTAATCTCCCATTCCCTTTTTTTCAATATCCTTGGGTGTGGTGGAATCCCCAGTACTGAGGAGTAAGCTAAGGCCCAAGAAGATGGGACAACATTCCCAGCATCCAGAAGGCTGGCAATAGAATTCATGCTACCTTCACCAGGTGAGCTGTCCACGGCCTACAGTCCCCGAAGGCTCGGAAATCCCTGCCCTAGCTAGACCTGCTCTTTATTCGCGCCACTGGTCTTGCTTGGCTGCCAGGACAGGAGGTGTCCTGGGTATCTCCTGATAAAAGATGTTTTCATGGGGTCTGTTGAGCTGCTTCTAGGGACTCCAGTTAATCAGCTTTTACTCCCAATACGGACAAGCCCACTACTGAGAATACTTTCTCCCAAGAAATCAAGTCACCAGTACATAACTCTGTTTCCCACTCCCCAGCCATAGTTCTGCTCCCATGAAATTTAAGGTTTCTGAGAGCAAACAAGTCAAAGATGGCATATCTCAAAACACCCTCCTCTCAGCATTCAGCGTCTGCTTTGACTGGTGTTCCCTGTGGGACTACATGAGAGCATAAGAAGAGGGCAGGTAGATAAGGTGGGTGGCACATGGGAATTCATAAAGGTCAGGGTCAACCTTCAGGGAGCCAGCAGCTCCATTCTGGCTGGGCCAAGAGCCACAGCGGGAGGTAGGGATGGGGCACAGTTGGCATAATTCAAAGCTGAGTAGCAACGGGTCTCCCCAAATGACACTCACTGTCCACGAAGTCCTTGCACTCTTCCTTGAGCTCTGTGGTCTGCTGGCTGACCTCTGGGTCCAACACCCGCAGCTTGTTCAGTTCATCAAAGTGCAACCCAGCTTCACCCAGGATGTCCTTGGCCATCGCTGTGAAGAAGCCAACCCCAATCCACGATCACTTCCCAGCCATCCAAAGAAAGGCCTGCTTCCAGCCCAGCCCACTCCTGCCCCCAGATACCAAGGCCAAAACCCCAGCTGCTCCAAAGGCTCCCCGTCCCTCTGCCTCCACCTCTCTAAGCCTCACCTGTTTCCCTTCCAGGTTCTCTAGAGATCTGCTCTGAAGGAGTGACAGTAGCAGCCAGGAGGAGATGTGTCATAGGATCAAGGGTCAGGAAAGAATAAAGTCCAGTTGCTTGTCACAGGCATCGTTCATTCAACACATATTTCTTGAGTGCCTACTACATGCCAACATCGCTAGATGCTGGGGGTACAAAGATGAGTGCAACATGGTACCCGCCCTGGAGGAGCACAGTTTAGCTGGAGGAAGACAGACACGTAAACTGAAAAATTATACTGTGTTAAGTGCTTTTACAGAAATATCACTAAAGCACTAGAGAACAGTTAACTTGGCCTGAGGAAGTTCACATTTGAATTAAGTCGTTAGCCATAAGCATATTTATTTATCCCCAATTATATACCCAAAAGGACACGACAAAGCTGTTCAAATGCAGAACTGCAACAACACAAAAAGCAAGTGAAGAGAAAGTCCGGGTGAATTACAAATCAGGGTTAAAAAAATACGCCAGGAGTAAGCATATTGCCCACAATGTATGCCAGGGGGTACTGTGCGCCTGCCTGAACCGGGACCCAGAGTTGGGTCAGTCTCTTTCAAGCAGAAAACACACAGTAGGAAGTCAGGGCAGCGTTCCAAGCAGAGAACAGCATGAACAGCCTGACGTCACTGGAAGGGCCTAGAAGATCAAAGGACCGAGGGTGGAGCTGGAAGGTCAGAAGGAGCCAGATCAGAGGGACCCTGTGTGCCAAGCTGAAGAGTTTGGGGTTCTTCTGTCGGCAAGAGAACCAGCACAGGCATCTCCCCCTTCCCGGGCCACCTTGCATTCCAGGTCTAAAGGATGCCTCAGTTCTTGGAAAGAAACACTGAAAACTCACCCTCATTCTGGCTTTAAAATAACACAAAAAGCAGAGAACACATGCCCTGTCTAGAAAGGAAGGCGATGCTATTCAGGACTAGCCATTGGCCGTTACACCACTTCCAAAGCCCAGGTGTTCCAAAGGCTCCCACCACCTGGCCCCGCACCAGCCTTCCCTCTGCTCCCACCTCCTACAACCCCCGCCCACCCCACCCCCAGCTTCCTTAGAGAAGTTCTGTTCTGAATGGGGTGATTCTGGGACTGACTGTCCAGACCACGTGTACCATTAGAAGATCAATGGTTTAAAAAGCTGGTGTGGCCAAGTTGGTTGGGCATCGCCCATGTACCTGGGGTGGCCAGTTGGATCCCCAGTCAGGGCACATGCCCAGGTGGCATGCTCAATCCCGAGTAGAGGGTGTGTAGGAGGCAGTCGATCAATGTTTCGTCTCACAAGGTTTCTCTCCCTCTCTCTCCCTCTCCCTTCAAAAAGTCAATAAAATCTTTAAAAAGGGGGGGGGGGGGATTAAGTCCCACCATTGCCAGAACTGATTTTCAAGAGGACCAGAAACCCAGATTTACATATGGAATGTGATTTTTAAAGGAAAGTATCTAATTCAAAAATTCAAAGTCAGGAACAGAACACATCCACTACTGTGTGGGCCAACTAATGCACATCCACAGGTTGTCTGTGTGTGACGGGGGCCCAGAGCCTGTGGCCTCCCTGGAATCCACTCAAGTAAGCTGGTGAGCATCTTCCTTTTGAAACATTTTAATCATCCAGAACTTCCTTATGATCAGGTTTTTTTTAAATGTTTTTATTGATTTCAGAAAGGAAGGGACAGGGAGAGACAGACAGAAACATCAACGATGAGAGAGAATCATTGATTGGCTGCCTCCTGCACGCCCCCACTGGGGATGGAGCCCACAACCCCCGCATGTGTCCTGACCGGAATCCAACCGTGACCTCCTGGTTCATGGGTCAACGTTCAACCACTGAGCCACACCAATGTTCAACCACTGAGCCACACTCAAATCTATAGTGTGTGTTCAATCTGCTGATCAGGTTTTAAAAAAAATTTGTTCATATTTTTTAATATCCTACTTGTTACATTTACACATATAGTCTGATTACTTAACACCTACCGGGGGATTAACCAGATCAACTACTCTAGAAAGTTCCAAGTAACCTGCAGGAGCAAACATCTGCGTCAACTTTTGCTCCCTTCCCTCAGAGCACGAATTTATCGAGACACCTACTGAGCCCCTGCCCCGGAGACGGAATAGTGAAGAAAATGCTTTCATGCTATAGCTCCTGAGCTCTGGACGAAGAGCAGACAGATCCTCACAAATGATGGTAACAGTATGAGGAGAGGCCCAGAGTGCCAGGGGACCGGGCAGCAGCAGCACATGCTTCTTATGATGGTGGGGGTGTCACAAAAGCCTTCTGCAAAAGGGACACTGAAGCTGAGACCTGACAGATGCCCCAAAGTTTCTCAAGTGAAGCGGGGAGGCAGCATTCCCGGCAGAGGGGAAAGCACCTGTGAAGATCCTGAAGCTGGGATAAATTAAACACATCCCAACAACTGGACGAGAGGGGGCGCGGGACAGGACGCCGCTGGGGAAGGGGGCTGGAGCTGGAGCGGGAAGGGCTCTGAAAGCTGCAGTAATGGCCTTGGGTTTTATCAGAGGCTTCATGAGCAGCCAGTGGGTTCTCAACAGAGTGACATGGTCAGATCTGCCTTTAGAGAGGCCACCGTGACCCAGGACGGAGGCTGGGCTGGAGGACACGAGGGTGGGAGTTCATCACGGTAACCCCAGCATCCAGCGTGGGGCCTGCACATAACCGGCACTCAGCAACTGTGGAACGAAAGACTGTGAGAACAGAGCAGGCGATTACAGCCCCCAAGGCTGGGAGCTGCAGGAAAGTGTTCCGATTTGAGCTGTCTTGTAAGTCGAGTTGTTAGGACTGAGTAAAGGAGTGACTGAATGTAGCAGGGGCTTCGGGGATGAGGGAAGGAAAGAGACAAGATCCCCGTGTTTCTGGCTTGAGACAACTGTAGGGCTGAATGCGATGGGTAAGACCAGAGAAGGGGTGAAGGGAGAGAGTTCATAGCTGACTATCCGGTCTCTCCCAACTCCCACCGCTCCCGCGGCTAAGCCTCCGAGCAACACCGGGCGCAAGAGCCCGGCTGAGCTCCCCGGGAGGAGGGCGGCGACACGCTTCCCGCCCCCGGGTCCCCCAGGTCCATGCCAGGCACCGCGAGGAAGCTCATCCATGGGGCACAGGCAAAGGGCACTGGGCAGAAAGTCAGAAAGGTCTGGGTGGTGGAACTGGCTGTCTTCACTATGTAAACTCCTTGGACTTCTCTGAGCCAGTTTTCCCACAAGGTGGTTGTGAGCACCCGCGCGTAAAGCTGCCGGCCCACGCGGCGTGTAATACCGCTCCCAAAGAGTTGGGCGGAATTCCCACGTTTCTTTCCGCCTGGGACGGTCTTTCCTCGAGGCGCTGGCCTGTCGGATTTATCTCGCCCCGGGCCCGCCCACGTCTCCCGACCGGAGTCACGGCCTACCTTCCGACCCTGCGGCGGCGGCGGCGCGCGCGACAGCCCAGGTTGAGGTTGGCAGAGAGCTTCTCTCTCGATCCGCGGCAGCGGTACCTGGCCCGCCAGCCTCAGCTGCTGCCACGGCTACAGGACCTGTGTACGCGTAACGTCACTACTTGACACCGGAAGCATTTACCCCGCCTGACCCGCAGAGCCTGCTGGGAAACACAGGCCCGAGAAGTGAGACCCTGCCTACAAGATCCAGAGGCCTTTGCACCAGAAAGTCTTCCGGAAGTAGTTGTGGGCTCTCCAGGGAATACTCTCGCAGTGGTTCTCAACCTTCCTAATGCCCCGACCCTTTAATATAGTTCCTCGTGTTGTGGTGACCCCCCAACCAGAAAATTATTTTCGTTGCTACTTCATAACTGTAATGTTTCTACTGTTATGAATCGTAATGTAAATATCTGATATGCTATATGTGTTTTCTGATGGTCGCGACCCACAGGTTGAGAACCGCTGCTAGGGCTCTTCCCTCTCCCCTGATTGGATGCTGGGCATGCCGGGACTTACAGTCTCAGGCTCCTGGGCCCGCCCCGCTGGGCGGCAGCTCGCGAGGGAGTGTGCAGTCGGAGGATGTGATTTCACTGCCCGGGATTGCTGTTTAAAGGGCGGCCACATCCTAGGGGCTACGGTGTCGGCCTGCAACCCGCCTGACAGGAGAGGCGCCGCTGGGGACGGTAAGAATCGGGTCTGCCGATACCCTAGGCGAGGGGACGGGGTGGACGGGCCTCGCGCTGGAGCAAAGAGCCCCACCTGGTCTTGGGGGAAAGGCGTGGGACAGCGTAGGGGAGATGGGTGGGGTGGGTGGGTGTCGGTCTGTGTCTCTGTGTCCGGGTCTCTGTTTCTCGGTAGTAAGCGGGGGTACGAGCTGGGAAAGACTCCACACTGGCCACAGAGTTTGGGTCTTGTTTAATTTCTCCAGACCCTTTGGATGAAGCCTACGATTTTTACACTTAGGATTTCTGCTAGACCCGCCGTCTCTCCGCACGTCCCACTTGCCCGTGTGTAACTAATTGCTGAGTGTTCTTCCTTTAGGACCTCTCCCTCCTCCCACCGCCGAGGTGGTTTGCCCTTGATTCTGCTCGGGCTCCCCTTAGCTTCGCTAAGTGTGACACGGATGCGCCCCCAGCCTCAGGCACCCCCAGATACCCGCACACAAAGTCCGGAAGGAAGAGCACTGAGGCTTCCAGTGGAAACTTCATTCTCACAGGAATTACTTTCTGGGCGTTACCTGCCAGAGAATTCCTGGAACCCATTGGTATGGACAGAATCTGAGCTGACCTCACCCAGGGGCTCATAGCAATTGCTTTGTAGGAAAAGAATAGATTAACGTTGGGTTTGTCTTTCTCTGTTGGCAACAACCTACCCTTTGAGTTCCTTTGCTTTGGCAAAATAAGTGTGTGTTTTCTTTGATCCTGGGGAAATGGATGCTAGACACAAAACACACAAGAACTGGTTGAAACCTGTTAAGGGGTGGTTTTGTTCCTTTGGGGTGGGCTGAGGAAGGTAAGGTGATCCCATACTAGTGTTACTTATTGATCGTGCGGTCTTCAGGGGAGGGTTCTTTGTGTCCTTGAAGCAAATGAGAGTCATCTGGACAAGCCGTCAGAGGAATCCAGTACCTCACAGCACCTGCTCTGGTCCTTCCTGGGCAATCCTTCCCAGGGACCTACCTAAATTATCAGGGACGATTTCAGTGCAACAGACCAACATATAGTCAGTGCTTTAAAATGTGAACGGCATTGTGCTAAGTTTGGAGAATGGAGCAGTAAACTTGGGGAAACCAGTGCACTGTTTCTGGGTTGCACTTACAAGAGATGATGTGCAACTGTAAACTTCTGAATGTTGTGATGATTAAATGAGGTAATTCCACTCTTTTTCCTGTTTCCATTTTCACCACTGTAGTCCAAGCCTTCACCATTCTTCTCTTGCCCAGACTACTGCTTCCTCTGGTCTTCCCACTGGATCTCTTGAACCCTTACAATATATTCTCTGCACAGCAGCCAGAGCCTGGATCCTTTATAAAGGAAGTGTATCCTGTCCCTCAGACTCCTGGGAAACTCCTAGGCTGCCTGGACTCACAGTAGGTTTGTCTGGAAGTCTTTACATTCCCAAATGTAAAAAGATCGTATCAGTCCCCTGCTTAAAACTCTCCAATCGGTTCCCATTGCAATTCGTAAAGAATCAGAACTCTTTAACATGGTCTGGTCTTCCTTTCTTTCTATGCACCAGCCATTGTGGCCTTAACTCTGTTCCTAAAACGTGTGTCTACCTGACACTTTGGCATTTACGTTTCCATTCGTCTGGAATATCCTCTCAGACCTCAGCTGGAATGTCACCTTCCCAAACAGGCTTTCCCTGGTCCCCTATCTAGATTAGTGCATCTCCCTAGTCACTTTCTTAATACTGTTTTAGCCCTAGCTGGTTTAGCTCAGTGGATAGAGCGTCAGCCTGCAAACTGAAGGTTCCCGGGTTCGATTCCAGTCAAGGGCACATGCCGGGTTGTGGACTTGATCCCCATTAGGGGGCCTGCAGGAGGCAGCCAATCAATGATTCTTTCTCATCATTGATGTTTCTATCTCTCTCCCCCTCTCCCTTTCTCTCTGAAATCAATAAAAAATATGTATTAAAAAATACTGTTTTATCTTTATTGCATTTCTCGCTTTTGGAATTGCCTGCTTGTTTGTTTTCTTGTTTTCTGTATCCACCAACTAGAATGCAGGCTCCATGCGGCTGTGCCTTGTTCTCTCCTGTATCTCCAGTGCCTGGCACGTAGCAGGGGGAAGTACTAGTAAATGCTAACTCTTACCATATTTATTCTTGTTAACATTATGATGCTTTGAACTCCTCGAAGACAGGGATGATATTTTTCTCATCTCTCTATCCCTACTGCTTAACCTAATAGGAAATCAATATTGTTTTATTGCTGAATGAATTCAGTGAGTTAATAAATATTAAATGCCTGGAACACTTAATGCAATGAATGTTTTCTATTATTTTTTTCTTCAGTGTATGGATTCTTTAGAAAACCAAACCATATAACAAAGTCTAAATCAAAAGAAGTGACCTAGCTTTACTTTCAATTTCCAAATCACTTAATTGATTTGAGATTTATCATCTGGTCTTTTCTAGCCCTTTCTTCCCATTCTTGTTGGAAGGGAACCGAGGAAGAGATAGGGCTGGGCCCCTTCTCAGGAAAAGAAGCAAAAATAGCCATCCTGTAGTTGTTCAATCCTGAAAAATGGTGACAATTTCAGGAACTTAGGATAGGGCTGGTGCCAAGAAACGGGAAGGTCAGGAAGCGCCTGCTGGAGCCAGGGCCACCTCTGCCAGGAACAGTGGCTGGGACCCTCCAGCCCGACTCGCTTCATGCTCTCCTGAGCTGCTGCTACCTGCCTTCCTGAAGCCAGACCCCGGGTGTTACTCAAAACAAGCACTGGTGCAGGCTGCTCCTGAGTCCGGAATCTTTCAAAGGAAGCGCACCCTGTCCCTCGGGCTCCTGGAAACTCCTAAGCAGGCTGAATTCCCAGTGGGTCTGACTGGAAGTCTTGAATCCTGGGAATCTTGAGAAGAAAATAACTGGACTCTGATTGGCAGATCCCCAGGGTAAGGACTTCTGCCCAGTCTGTTCCTGGCTGGCTCCAAGGGCCTGCCTGTCCTCCTTGCCGCCCAGAGCGGAGTCTCGGGGAGGCTGGTGACGTGACCAGCTCTGGCTCTGGGATGTGGTTCCTGGTACCATAAAGAACAGCAGGAGCATCTTTCTTACCATTGCCCAGGGCCTTCATCTCTGCCAGGGAGTCCTGACTTGTCAAGGAGAGAATGCCTGGATGGTCAGGGTTTCTCCCTTTGTCCCCTGCTGACTCTCCTCTTCTCTCCCATCTCCTGCTCACAGCCTTGAGAGTATGAGGCTCTCACCTCCAGTGGCCACTCACTCGTGACCCTTCACCACGGCGGAACCTCCCAAGCCCACCTGTTGCCGTGTGGTGATCTACCTGAAGCGGGAGATGTCGGGGGATACCTGCCTGTGCCCAGCCTCAGGGGCCAAGCCCAAGCTAAGCGGCTTCAAGGGAGGAAGCCTGGGCAACAAATACGTCCAGCTCAATGTGGGCGGTTCGCTGTACTACACCACGGTGCGGGCACTAACCCGGCATGACACCATGCTCAAGGCCATGTTCAGCGGGCGCATGGAGGTGCTGACTGACAAGGAAGGTGAGGTCTCAGGGCTTGTTGGGCTAGGTGGGAAGGGAAGGAGGCGTTCCTGGGGGTGTGACTTCAGGGCAGGGTTTAAGCCTGGCATATATAGACTCTAGGTTCACTTTTCCAGTTCACCTAGTACAGGACTCCACCTGGCATCCTTAATCAAGCTTCAGAATTCTATTTGGCATTGCACATAGATTATTGTACGGCTACGCACCCATTTCCCAGAGAGGCTATCCATACTTTGTTTTTCTCTTCACATAGGACTAGATTCTCATAAGAAGCATCACCAGAGTGGCGGGGCAGTGGGCAGAGTGGCGGGGCAGTGGGCAGAGGCAAACAGGGCTGGTGGTTTCTGTGCTGTCAGGGGGTGGGCCTGAGCGTTCCTGGGCTTCGACCTCTGCGGGCCTCCTCAGAGCCTGGGGCCTGTCTCTCCTACAGCATGTGCCAGCTCTTGGTTTCAGGGGGAGGAGTGAGAGCAACAATGGCCTTAAGAGCTTGAGGTTGTTTTCTGTTACCCTATGCTGTGGGCTCTCTGCCACCGGTCACCAGGCTGTCAGGTGGCCTTTGCTACTGCCTGCTTCTGAGGTACCTGGAGGCAAAGTCACCCTCTGGGGCCCATTTGAATTCCTAGGCTGGATCCTCATAGACCGATGTGGAAAGCACTTCGGCACCATTTTGAATTACCTCCGTGATGACACCATCACCCTCCCTCAGAACCGTCAAGAAATCAAGGAATTGATGGCTGAAGCGAAATATTACCTCATTCAGGGCCTGGTGAACATGTGCCAGAGTGCCCTGCAGGTATGGCGCAGAGTTGGGGGCTGCTTGACGTGGTTGGGAGTTGGCCCCCTCCTTCAGGGACATGAGTCCAGTTCCTGGAAGGCTGTGTGGCAGGTATGGTTGACGAGTCCAAACCTAGTTAAA